CATATTTTCCTTTCCCCATACTTTTCAACCATCTCTCTGTCTCTTTTCCATTGCTCTCCCATACACTTATCAGGCTCTCTTTATAATCCTCTTACCATGATTTTCTCCCTCAAATTCCTCCCTACATCTCTTCCAAAGACCTGTTCCTTACATTGTTCTCCTATTTCCATGGCACTAATATTTGACACTATTTTTCTAATGCTTTCATTGAATTTTTTTCTCCCCATCTTACCGTTTATTTTTCCTACCTCTCTCCTGCTCCCTGTGATCTCTCCCAGTATTCCTCTTTATTCTTCCTACCTCTCTCCTGCTCCATCTGATCTCTCCCACTATTCCCCTTTATTCGTCCTACCTCTCTCCTGCTCCATCTGATCTCTCCCAGTATTCCCCTTTATTCTTCCTGCACCCTGTGATCTCTGGCAAGCGGTTCCTTCCCCTCGCTCTCTGTAAGGGCTCTGTGTGTGAGGAGAGTACAGGAAGTGATGTCACTTCCTAGCCCTGCCTCTCCTCATCACAACTCCCCTTTTTATGTGAGTTTGCCACATGTTTTTGGAGGGGCATGTTTTCTTGTTTCCTGCCCTGTGACTACGGGCCCTGCAATATACCTTGCCCAATACTCTTTAAAAGGCTCCATTCATGTAATGTAAGTACTTTTGTACACCACAAAGAGAGACTGCATGGGACAGGAAGAACTGAAGGAGAGCCGGTAATGCTGCCAGGTCTCATTTTGAGAGAGGAAAGAGAGTAATAGGTTGCTGGTGCTCTGCGCTCCATCAGGGGTTCCACAACCTATTGAGGGAATAGATTTTTTTTTTATTATTATTTTCTGTTATTATTTTCTGAGAGATCTCTGATCTCTCCAGCTGGAGCATTGCTGTGCAGCCAGGCCACTGGCAGTCTCGGGCCGTCGGTCCAAGAACGATCTGCCCAAGCTGTCAGTTCGTCCCTGGTCACGCATTTAGGCTAGAAGAAATGAGATTTAGTCTAAGGCAAAGAAAATATTTTTTTTTGCAGTAAGAACTATAAGGATGTGGAATGCTCTACCTGAAGAGGTGGTTTTATTAGAGTCCCTACAGATGTTTAAACTGAAATTGGATAAACACTTGCAAAAACATAACAGACAGGGATATAGTTTCTAATTAGTGGGGTAATAGCTGCTTGACCTAGGGAGATATCTGACTGCCATTTTGGGGTCAAGAAGGATTTTTTTTCCTAGTTTTTTGCAAAATTGGAAACACTTCAGACTGGATATTTGCCCTCTTTTGGATCAACAGCAACAACATATGTGAGGAAGGCTGAACTTGATGGATGCAAGTCTCTTTTCAGCTACATAACTATGTAACTATGTACACTTAAGCCCTGATCTCCCTTTAAAGTCAGTGATTGCATGCAGGGGATTTGCAGGGTGAAGTGAAGCTGAAGTGCTTTTTGGGTGTGGAGTGATCCTTTAAGATATAGGGGGCCTAAAGAGAGGGAAATAAGCATGACATTGTTTATTTTTTAAATGATATGAGTTTTTCACTGAAAAAAGAATTTTGGTGAACAAGTCATCTGATAATTCTCACCCAATGAGCTAACCTGTGCATTGGAGACAGGGCCGGTGCCCTAGGCAAACAAAAATGTGCTCTTCCCACCATGTGACATCACAATGCCCCACTCACATGATCTACCATATGAGCTAACACCAGTGCTGCACTGTGACAAACTCCCCTTTTTATGTGAGTTTGCCACAAGTTTTTGGAGGGGCATGTTTTCTTGTTTCCTGCCCTGTGACTACGGGCCCTGCAATATACCTTGCCCAATACTCTTTAAAAGGCTCCATTCATGTAATGTAAGTACTTTTGTACACCACAAAGAGAGACAGAATTATCTTGAACTGTTTTGGGCATGAAGCCATGCTTACAGTCGTTCAAAAAGAGACTTCAATTAAACTTTTGAACCCCTGCACTGATCTGGGTGATTTTTGGATATGTTGTTCACCCAACATATATATATGTATATGATCCAGAGTTGGGTAAGGGATCTAGTGTGTGTCTGGAATGTAATGTGTTTAGGAGTGCAGTATGTGTGTGAGGGTTGCTGTAGTGTATATATATATATATATATATATATATATATATATATATATTATAAATATGTTTGGAAGTGTGTGTATGTGTGTGTGTGTGTTTGGTGCAGTGTGTTGGGGTTCTGTGTGTATGTGTGAGGGGTGAAGTGGGTGTCTGTGAGGGGTGTAGTGTGTGAGCGTGCTGTGTGTGATGTGTGTAAGGGTGCTGTGTGTGATGTGTGTGAGAGTGCTGTGTGTGAGAATGCTGTGTGTGAATGCTAGAAGGGACTATGTGTTTGGCAGGGGGGTAAAAAACAAACCCCAAAAAATAAGCAGGCATTATATCCCCCCTCCTTTCTTACCTTTAGCTCCGGATCTCGCGAGAGGAACCTGGCTGATCTGCAAGATAGAGCTCCGCCGGGTCCTCCTCTCCCTCCCCAGCCGCATGTCTATGCAAGTGGGCCGTGAGGGAGATCTTTGATCTCCTCACTGGCCCATCATGGCAAACAGCGGGGCTGGCGCTCGGATAGTGCCGGCCCTGCATAGACCTGCAGGGGAGATTCTGTGACCTCCCCTGCCGGCCTTGACCCATGGTCACCGCGGCCCACTGGGCATTTGCCTGGTGTGCCCGATGGCCAGTCCGGGCCTGGCCTAATTACAGGACCTTATCAACCAAAAACACTAAAACAGTCATACCTCCCAATCGTCATGTATCTGGCGGAAGTGGTGCTGAAGGGAAACTCATAGGATGCAGCTATGAGAAAACACACACTCCATTCTAATATCACACTCTTATTTATGCTTTCATCTTTCAAGTAAATCCATACACCTAACAGCAGTGTCCACTGAAGCAGGCAGTCAATGGACGGGGTAAAAGGGTGGGCCACTGACGCAAATAATGTAATCAGACCTGCCGAAAGAGGCGCACATGCCTTAAAAAGGTGGCGTGTCTGTCTAAAGAGTTGGAAGGCCAGCCTGGCATGAATGCATGTCAGGCTGCCTGCCAATCATGCAGGCTGGTCAACTAAGAGCATACTATGCAGACAGCACCCTGAGCTTGGCATAAATGTGTCTAATTAGGAGTTTGCTCCACGCTTTCTAAGGGCTGTCCCCTAGCACTCGCTGGTCCATTCCTCTCCTAACCTCCTTACTAGCAGGCAGAAGCAGCTGGTATATAGTCTGGGACAGAGAAAAGCTGTATGTAGTGAGTGTAGAAAGGGAACATGCCACAGTATTAGAGAGAATGAAGCAGCAAGACCATTTGCATTGTGCACAAAGACAGTTTTACCTTAACTACATTTATTGTCAGCCAGTCCACACAAGTTTTGTTGCCATACATCCCTCTAAAGTTTCCATACTTAAGCAAGAGTATGTGAAGGATAGTCTCTTGGAAAAAATACTGACCTTACTAATTTGCTTAATTAATTATGTATGTGTGTAAATCACAAGGAGTGACCTAAGAGAAATTTCTGTAAAATCACCAAAAAGCTACTTAAATATATTCTGCTGAATAAAAGATGGACTGTTCCCAATGTCTCCCTGTCTCCCAGTATCTTAGTACCCCCTAGTCTCCTAGTCTTCCAGTGTCCTCATGTCTCCCAGTGTCTGTGTCCCTGTATCACAGTGTTTCAGTGTCCCATGTGTCCCAGTGTCCCCTCATGTCCTTATGTCTCAGTGTCTTCTACGTATCACAGTGTTCCTATGTATCACAATGTCTCGGTGCCCCATGTATCTCGGTGCCCCATGTGTCTCAATGCCCCATGTGTCCCAGTGTCCCCATGTTGCCCAGTGTCACTTGGAAACCACGGCACACTGAAGAGACATTGACACACTAGGAGACACTGGCACACTAGGAGACATGCGGACACTGAGGCACTAGAGACACTGGCTGGGAGATATGGAGACACTGATAGACTTTGGGACATTGGGAGACATGGGGACACAGACGCTAGGGACACTGTCTCAGTGTCCCCAAGTGCCTCAGTGTCCTATAGTGTCTCACAGTCCCCATGTCTCCAGGTCTCCCAGTGTCCCCAAGTGTCAGTGTTCCCATGTCTCCCAGTGTCCCCAAGTGCCTCTGCGTCCCCTAGTGTCTCACAGCGTCGCCTAGTGCCTCAGTGTCCCCATGTCTCCAGTGTCCCCTGATTTTCCAGTGTCCTCAGCTCTCTCAGTGTCCCTAAGTGTCTAATTTTTCCCAGTGTTCTCTAGTTTCTCTCAGTGTCCCCATGTCTCCCTGCTGCCTTTTCCCCATCCTTCACTTACCTGAGCTGTAGTCTTCTCTGCAGGCTGGGAGCTGCTGTCTGGACTCTCTGTGCTGTGTAGCTGCTCCTCCGCGGATCAGGTATATGCTGTAACTTTCTATCCTTGCCTCTCTCCACACACAGCGACTGGCCGGTCCTGGTATTGCAGAGTAATCTCTGTTTATACTGAGAAATATGCCGGCATTTGTATTGCCCGTTTAACTGCAATACTGGCACTGGCCAGGCAGCCTCAAATACCATAAAATACCAGCCAGGTGGCAACCCTAACAGTAATGTGTAAAATTTCAATTCAATGGGCCTATTCCATGGGCCTGAAGCTGCAGCTCTATCAGCCCCCATGTTAATCCGGCCCTGCTTATGTATACATGACTGCCAGGCTATACAACCATACCCCACAATCGTGTATAAACAATTAGCTTAATTACAAATTACATTTGTTTATCGCAAATTATGCCATTACTACAGTCAGAGAGTAAGTGATAATATATACCTATAGACCACCCAAGTGCAGCAATATATAATAAAATAAAGGTAATTACTTAAAATACAAGATACACCTAAAATAAAAACAGAGATAAAGAAAAATTCATAGGGCAACACCATACGACAAAATGGGCCCCTAATGATAATAATGCACTCACAGGATATACAAATTTTTAAAGCCCATCAGTTTCTCTTTAAATTTTCTGTTGTAAACATACTCAATATCCAAGGATGCATGCCAAAAAATGTAAAATGTCATTTTACATTTTAAAGCATTGCTGTACTATGTCCAGTTGTTTTCTTTTGGCATGCATCCTTGGATATTGAGAATGTTTACAACAGAATATTTAAAGAGACATTGATGGGCTTGAAAAATGCGTATATCCTGTGAGTGCATTATTATCATATGGGGCCCATTTTGTCGTATGGTGTTGCCCTATGAATTTTTCTTCGTCTCTGTTTTTATTTTAGGTGAATCTTGTATTTTATAGAGATTAAGTGATGCATTGTGTGTGCGCAAGGTCTGCATTGTGTCTGAAAGGGGTGCATTTTGTGCATGTAATAGATGCATTGTGTGTAAGGGGTAGTGGAAAAGGGAAGCATGGTGTTTTTCTGTGTGGGTAGGAATCACTGTATGTCTAGCTGTGTGAGTAGGAATTCATTATATTTTTCTGTGTATGTGTAAGGATGCATTGTAAATGTGTATAGTGTGAAAGAGAGGGCTTGTGGGGTAGGATAGGTGTTGAGAGGGGAGCAGCTCTTTATTTTATTTTTTTGTACTTATTTTTCTTTAAGTTTTGTGTCTTACACCCTGCTTTAGCGTATCTCTCTTGTGTGTCTCTTATCCCCCTCCTCTCTTTGTATGTTTTCTACATCCTCCCAACCCCTTTGCGTGTCTTACTCCCCCCAGTCCCTGTGTTTTTTACTCTTCCCAGCTCCTTCCTGTGTCTTTTACCCCTTGGCCCCTCTGTGTGTCTTTCCCCTCCCACCCCCAGGTCCCTCTGTGTGTCTCCCTCCTCAGCCTCTCTGTGTGTCTTACACCCCCCCCATCCTCTAATGATTTACTCCCCCACTGTCCCTTGTCACTTAGTGGTTTCATCTCCTCCTCCTGTTCCTTAGTGGTTTCCTTTTCTCCCCTTGTCCCTTAGTAGTCCCTGAGAACTCTCCCCTCCCCTCCTGTCCCTTAGTGCTCTCCCATCCCCTCCTGTCCCTTAGTGCTCCCCCATCTCTTAGTGATCTTCCCTGCTCCCCTGTCCTTTGTCCTTTAGTGCTCTCCTCTTCCCCCTTGTCCCTTAGTGATCTCCCCTGCCCCCCTGTACCTTGGTTATCTCCCTCCCTCCCTCCTGTCCCTTAGAATTTGCCCCCTCTCCTCTCCCTTAGTAATATATATTATAAAATGTTTTAATTATTTTATAATATATTATACATATATATCTGCCGTCACATTCTATGTTTCTAAATATATGCATAATATATTATAAAATATTTTAATTATTTTATAATATATTATACATATATAACGCATATATATAGAAACATAGAATGTGACGGCAGATAAGAACCATTCGGCCCACCTAGTCTGCCCAATATTTCAAAATACTTTTAATTAGTCTCTGACCTTATGCCTATCCCACGCATGCTTAAACTCCCTCACTGTGTTACCCTCTACCACTTCAGCTGGAAGGCTATTCCATGCATCCACTACCCTCTCTGTAAAGTGATACTTTCTGAAATTATTTTTAAACCTTTGCCCCTCTAATTAGAGGGGCATAAATTAGAGGGGCAAAGGTTTAAAAATAATTTCAGGAAGTATTACTTTACAGAGATAATAGTGGACATGTGTCCTCTTGTTGTGGTAGTTCTCCTTCTTTTAAATATAGTCTCCTCTTTAACTGTGTTGATTTCCTTTATGTATTTCAATGTTTCTATCATATCCCCATGTCTTGTCTTTCCTCTATACATGTTAAGATCCTTTAACCTTTCCTGGTAAGTTTTATCCTGCAATCCATGAACCAGTTTAGTAGCCCTTCTCTGAACTCTCTCTAAAGTATCAATATCCTTCTGAAGATATGGACTCCAGTACTGTGTACAATACTCCAAGTGAGGTCTCACCAGTGTTCTGTACAATGGCATGAGCACTTCCCTCTTTCTACTGCTAAAACCTCTCCCTATACAACCAAGCATACTGCTAGCATTTCCAGCTGCTCTATTACATTGTCTTCCTACCTTGAAGTCATCTGAAATAATTACTCCTAAATTCCTTTCCACAGATGTTGAGGTTAGTAGGGTATCAAATATCCTATACTCTGCCCTTGGGTTTTTACATCCAAGGTGCATTATCTTGCACTTATCTGCATTAAATGTCAGTTGCCCCAGCTCTGACCATTTGTCTATTTTTTCTAAATCATTTGCCATTTGGCTTATCCCTCCTGGAACATCAAGCCTGTTGTAAATTTTAGTATCATCAGCAAAAAGACATTTAGCCACTGCCTAACCCATTCAACAATATTGGAATACAAACTAAAGGTTGCAGTTTATTGATGAGCCTTCTATGTGGAACAGTGTCAAAAGCCTTACTGAAATCTAGGTAAGCAATGTCTACTGCACCACCCTGATCTTTTATTTTAGTTATCCAATCAAAAAAATCAATAAGATTAGTTTGGCATGATCTCCCTGAAGTAAACCCATGGTGTTTCTGATCTTGAAATCCATGTGATTTTAGATCAATCCTATGCTTTAACATGGTTTCCATCACTTTACCAAATACTGAAGTAAGGCTTACTGGCTTGCACGACTCCTCCCTACTACCTTTCTTGTGAATAGGTACAACATTTGCTAATTTCCAATCTTCTGGGACTACTCCTTTTAACAATGATTGCTTAAATAAATCCGTTTATGGTTTTGCTAGTACACCACTAAGTTCTTTTAATAAATTTGGGTGTATCGCATCAGGCCCCATCGACTTATTTGTCTTTACTTTTGACAATTGAAATAGAACCTCTTCCTCTGTAAACTCACATGTAACAAATGACTAATTTGTCCTTCTTCCTAACTGAGTCCCATTTCCTTCATTTTCATCTGTAAATACTGAACAAAAATATTCATTGAGGCAATCAGCTAGACCTTTTTTCCTCTTATACATACATCCCTTCTTTTGTTTTTAATCTAACTAATCCTTGTTTTACTTTCCTTGTCTCATTTATGTATCTAAAAATGTTTTATCCCCTTTTTCTACTGACTGTGCTGTTTTCTCTTCTCTGTGTGCTTTGGGGGCTCTTATAACTTGCTTAGCCTCTTTCTGCCTAATCTTATAGATCTGTCTTTCTTCCTCACGCTCGTTTTTTTTTATAATTCCTAAATGCTGACTTTTTGTTTTTTTATTATTTTGGCCACATCTGCGGAGTACCACAGTGGTTCCTTAAATTCTTTGCTTTTACTGACAAGCCTAATGCAATTTTCTGTTGCCTTCAGTATTTAGTGCATGGAAAGTGTTAAAATACCACCATATGAAATACCCTAGGATGTCTTCTTTTCAAAAATATATGGTTTGATTGGGGTAAATGACATTGGCCGGCTTCAAAAATGTCCCAAATAAGATATGGATGCATTATGACCAGCTGTGAAAATTCCAAGTTGGAAAACTGGAATGCACACCCTGCAAATAAGGTATTTTAGCCCCCAGAGAACCTGACACACCTATACATGTGGGGTATCACTGTACTCAGGAGATATTGCTGAATACATATTGGGGAGTTGTTTGGTAGTAAACCTTAAAGTTCTCAGTACATGTATTCTTAAATTGATATGTGTGTCAAAAAATCACCAATTATTATTATTTTTTTTTAATTTGGCATAGATTGGTGGTAAAATGGTTGCATGAAAACAGTCAAAATACCCCACGTTTAATACCGTAGGTTGTCTTCTTTTAACAAAATATATACATGTGAAGGGTTATTCAGGGATTCCTGACAGATATCAGTGTTACAATATAACTTGTGTTAATTTTGAAAAAAAAATGGTTTGGAAATAGCAAAGTGCTACTTGTACTTATAGCCATATAACTTTCCAAAAAAGCTAAGAACATGTTAACATTGGGTATTTCTAAACTCAGGCGAAAATTCAGAAACTATTTAGTACAGTTGTTTTTTTGCGGTTGTAGATGAGTAACAGATTTTGGGGGTCAAATTTAAAAAAGTGTGTGTTTTTTTAAAATGTTTTCATCATATTTTTTATATTTTTTTATAGTAAACGATATGATATGATGAAAATAATGCTGTATTTAGAAAGACCATTTAATGGCAAGGAAAACGGTATATAATATGTGTGGGTACAGTAAATGAATAAGAGGGAAATTACAGCTAAACACAAACAATGGAGAAATGTAAAAAGAGCCCTGGTCCTTGACGGTAAGATAATTGAAAAATGGTCTGGTCACTAAGGGGTTGAAGAAAACTAGAGCAGACAGGAAGAAATGAAGAACAGATCCTGACAGAGGGAGAGAAGATGAATCGATTGGGGAAAGGTAAGTTTGGCATGATTGTACCGCTTTAAGTTATTTTGTTTTTCTATTTATTTTAAGAAGTATTAATCATACACAGAGTATATCAATAAAAAATGTGTCTAACAGATGAAGCATTATTATTGTAGACTAATCTATTACTCCATCTCACTGCAGTTTTTGAATTAGATACAAACTCATAGTGACAACTCCTGTTAAGTAGGAAAAAATGAAAACAAATGTTTTCCAGTGGTTTTGTCAGCTTTTTTTATTCATTCAAGAGGAAGCACCATTATTTCTAATATATTACAACTTTGTCACAAATGATTTTGCTAACTTCTCAATAATACAAAATATGAGTAGAAATCAATGATTTATTATGCTAGCTGTGTATGTGATTCTGCTGTCATGTCTTCCTCTCATTTCTCTCTATTACTCTGTTCATCCAAGTAAAATCCCTGTCAAGAAATAAACTAAAATGGATACACTGAGAAACTGAGGTAGGAAAAAATATAGTCCTATTACTGATTCGCCCTCTGTTAAAAGATGATTCATACACTGATTACAGGGAAGCATAGCTCATTTCTTTGTGTGATTTTTTTTTGCAAGTTTAATTTTAAAAATCTCTCACAAGAAGAGAGTAATATAGTATAAGAGATCGACTCCTTAGTGACCTAACCTTTTAGAAAGGTTCCATGTGTTTTGGTGACTGAGCCCGTTTGGGGATTTTTGCTATGTATGTGTTTTTTTTGTTGTTGTTTTTTTTAAATCTTTGTTTTATTGAGGGAAAGATATCAACACTCAGACATTGCAGGGAATGCATGAACAAACAGAAA